CCGGACCCGCGCGCCGCCGGGCCACGTGCCCCGGGCCGGGAGTTGAGCGGAGGAGGCGGGGCGGTGCGACCCCCTGCGCCCCCGCGGCAGCGCCGCGATCTCCCTGCCACCCGCTGCAGCCCCGCGACTGCCTGCCAGCGCCGCGACTTCCCTGTCCCCCGCGCAGCCCCGCGCCCCCCAACCGGGCTGCGCCGCGACCCTCCTTGAGCCCCCGCGGCAGTCCCGCAACTCTCTGCGACGGCCCCGCCCAGTGACAGCGCCGTGACCCCCGATACTCCCACGTGGCAGAGCCGCGCCCCCGCGTCCCCCTCCGACCGCCCCCCGGGGCAGCCCCGCGCCCTCCCTTGCGCCCCTTGCGGCAGCCCCGCCCTCCCCCACCCCCCTTCCCCGCCATCCCGTCTTCAAGAGCCCGCCAACTGAGAGCCGCCCAAGGCGCTGGTGGCGGCGGGTGGCAGACTAGCTGACCCTGGCCCCCGTCGATGCGGGAAGCGTCACTGTCCTTCCCTCTGGATCACTTTGGGACCTCAGCCCCGCGAGGGCGGGACCGGCGCCGACCTGAGTTCACGGTTGTGCCCATGGTTCTGGAGCAGGATGGGCACGCAGCCAATTGCTTGAACGAATAGCTCCCATCCTGACCCTTCCCTAAGTATTTCTTTATTTATTGATACTGGGGATTGAACCCAGGGGCAATGAACCACTGAGCCACATCCCTAGACTTTTTTACTTTTTATTTAGAGACAGGGTCTCCCCACGTTGCTGAGGCTGACCTTGAACTTGAGGGAAAGGCGAGAGGGAAGAGGGTGATAGGGATAAAACACAATCTAAAAATCCCTAATGCAAGGGAATTAATCTACCTGTATGTTTTAAAAACGGTGGGTAGAGGGCTGGGGATGTGGCTCAAGCGGTAGCGCGCTCGCCTGGCATGCGTGCGGCCGCGTTAGATCCTCAGCACCACATACAAACAAAGATGTTGTGTCTGCCAAGAACTAAATATATATATATATATATTAAAATTCTCTCTGTCTCTGTCTCTCTTTAAAAAATAAAATAAAATAAAAACGGTGGGTAGAGAATTTGCTGGGTAGGGTAAGGGAGATCTGTTGGGATGACGGTGACCTTGATTTGATGGGTGCCTCTAGGATAGAAAGAAGAGGAAATACTTGAAATAGATTTTGGAGAATTCAAGGGATACACTGAGGGATTGAACCCTGAGTGATGGGGAGGGAAAAGTCATCCCGAGTGGATGGTAGTGCTATGTACTAAAATGGGAAAAACTACTAGAAAAATAGATGTGGGGTAAGGGAATAAAGTGTTCCCTTTGGCCTATGAAGTTGTCATCTAGTCAATGGACACATGCCTGTAGAGCTCAGATGGTAAGAGGCATGAACTAGGGGCACTTAAATGGTGTTTACAGCACTAAGAATGAAAGCCATCGCTAAAAAATAAAAAGTAACAGGAAAAGAGGGTCTGGCTCTCAGAATACCACAGAGGATTGGCCAGAGAGGAAGGAGAAGAGGGACCCAAGAAAGGACAGTGTTTCAAGAAGAGTGGTATTGTTAGCTATGCCAAGAGGCCCTAAGAGAAACACACTGACCTGACATCAGAGAAGGTGTGTGAACTTGACCACAGGAGTTTCCATTGAGGAGCGAGACAGATGGAGAATGGAGGGGAACAGTGGTGGAGGTGTGGGTATGGGACAGGTCTTTCAAGAGATTGTGGGATAAAATTGCACAATGGCAAGGGACAGAGGAGGTGCGTTGAAGAGATTTATTGTACAGAATGGGAGACATAGGCACGTTTTTGTTGGTATTGGGAATGACTCAGTAGAGTGAGAGGTCAAAGATCCCAGAGGGAAGGTCAGTAACACAGAGAAGGTTCTGGAAAGAGGAGGAAATGAAGTCCATGTGTAGAGTGATGACTCAGACTAGCCAAGGAGGGTGACTTGGCTGCAGTCTGAGATCCAGGCCCAGGAGGTCTAGAGCAGAAGGAACCGCCACTGTTTGAAGCAACCTCTGTTGCTTAGCATCCTGCTTTTAATATGTCTCCACCGAGTTCCTAAGTAACAGTCATTTCAACTATGCTAACAGCTCAGGGCCTCACACGTGCTAGGCAAGCACTGTACCTCAGACTAAGTGGAACCCTTAATCCTTCCATTCAACCACCCAAACCTATACATTCCTCCTACTTGTTGTTACCACTACAGAACACGGTGCCACCACCCACCCAGCCAAGGCTTACCTCAGACTCATTCTGGATTCCTCCCTATCTCAAACCTACCCCATACAATTAGTTCTCAGAAAATTCTCAAATCCTTTCTTTTTTTTTTTTTTTTTGCCTGCCTTGGTTTAAGCCATCATTATTTAACTGCCTTCAAAAAGCAGTCTGTGGTATTCTTTAAAATCTTACTACCAAGAAAACTTTAAATCTTATTCTCTTCTTGGTCATTGAGCACCTACTGTATTCTAGACTCTATTCTTGGTTCTAGAAATATAGTAGACAATGAGAATAAGTCCCTGCCCTAATGGTGGGAGATAGACAAGGAAACAAACGAACAAGGTAATTTTAGACAAAAACAGTGCTATAAAGGATTGCAAAATGGGTGAAGGGATTCAGAGTATGGGGAGGGAACAGCTAATTTATTTTTTATTTTTTAAAATAGTATTTATTTTTTAGCATTTGGCAGACACAACATCTTTGTTTGTATGTGGTGCTGAGGATCGAACCCTGGCCCCACGCATGCCAGGCGAGCGCGCTACCACTTGAGCCACATCCCCAGCCCCAAGGGAACAGCTAATTTAGAAGACCCCTGAGAAGATGACAAATATAAAATACCACTATTAACTGGGCATGGTGGTACATGCCTGTAATCCCAGCATCTGGGGAGGCTGAGGCAGGAGGATCACAAGTTCAAAGCCCCCTCAGCAAAAGTGAGGCGCTGGGCTGGGGTTGTGGCTCAGTGACACAGCGTTTGCCTAACACATGCGAGGACCTGGGTTCGATTCTCAGCACCACATTAAAATAAATAAATAAAATAAAAGTATTGTGTCCAACTACAACTAAAGAACTAAATAAATATTTTAAAAAAGAAAGTGAGGCACTAAGCAACTTAGTGAGACCTTGTCTCTAAATAAAACACAAAATAAGGCTGGGGATGTGGGTCGGTGGTCCGAGTGCCCCTGAGTTCAACCCCAGTACCACCCCACCCCCTACAAAAAAGGAGAAAAGCACGGCACATGGAAACAGCAAAAGAGGAAGAGGGTGACGCAAGAGGAAGTTGGAGAGAAAATTAGAGCCACGTGTCATTCAGGACGTTGTGGAGAGTTTTGATGGCAAAGAGAAGCCATTAGGGGTTTTAAGCAAGAGAATGAAAATGATCTGGTTTATGATTTGAAAATGTTACCGGTGGCCAGGCATGGTTTCACACACCTGTAATCCCAGAGACAGGGTTGGGGTGGGGATGTGCTGAAGCATATTAAAGAGACTCTGCCTCAAATTAATAACATAAGGGACTGGAGATGTAGCTTAGTGGTAGAGCACCTCTGGGTTCAATCCCCAGTAACAAAATATTTTAAAAAACAACTTGTGTGAATTAAAGAAGGTGAGATTCAAGCAGGAGACCCATTGAAAGGCTGTTTCAGTAAGCAAGTGACTTATAGTAGGGTAGTAGTGATGGAGGGTACAGGACGAATTTTGGATGTGACAGAACCAATACTATTAATAGCATGGATACAAGAACTTAAGGTAGAAGTAGTAGAAGTAGTTCACATATGTGTGCTGCATCTTAAATTCAGGAATATATTTTGCATATATTCAGCCTCCACTCATGACATTTAGACTCTCAATTAGTTAATTGGGAAACAGCCTAATATAGGCTAAGAATTTAGACAAAAATCTAAATTTCAATCTTCGGTGATCTTGGAAAGTGTCCAAAACTGAAGAGCTACCCTTTCCTCTTCTTCAAAATGGGTCTGACTGTCTTATGGATCTGAGTTAATGTCTGTAACACTCTACAACCATGCCTAGACCTCACGGTGTGTAGGAGATGGTGGGGAATCCAAGTGGGATGGGGAAGAGAAGCATTCATATTCAAGGTTTTATTTATGAAATAGTGATGGGGGGCAATGTTGACGAGGATGATGATGATGATGATGATAATGATGATGATGATTTGGTACCAGGGATTGAACACAGGGGCACTCGACCACTGAGCCACATCTCCAGCTCTATTTTGTATTTTATGTAGAGACAGGGTCTCAACTGAGTTGCTTAGTGCCTCGCTAAATTGCTGAGGCTGGCTTTGAACTCGCAATCCTCCTGCTTCACTGGGATTACAGGCGTGCGCCACCACGCCCCAGCAATGTTGAGGATTTGAGTGAGCTGGACATTTATAGCATTGGGCATAAGAGTATTAAAGGTTCTGCCTGAATTGGATATTAGTCCCCCTTCTAGGCATCCTGGCCCAATACTTTATATTATTATCTCTCCCTCTCCTCCTTTCCTGATTGCTGAGGATTGAGCTCAGAGGCACTCTACCACTGAGTTACATTCCCAGCCTTTATTTATTTTATTTTGATACAAAGTCTTGCTAAATTGCCCAGCCTTGCTTCGAATTTGCGATTTGCAATCCTCCTGCCTCAGCACCCCCAGTAGCTGGGATTACAGTCGAGCACCAGCACCTTAAATCTCTAACTAGGGAGGATGCAAGGCTATTGCTGGCGCCTACAAGTATCTATTATAGGTGCTCAATAATCACCTAATAAAGAATACGATCGGAATGAGAGCGCAGGTTATTTTAACAAGAAAAATAGGTGCGAGCAGTACCAGCACTGAGGTTTTCGCGTCGCTGTGGCAACGCGCACAGACGAGAACTACAAGAACCACAACCGCCCACGGCTTTCCAGCTCCCCGGGGGGAGGGGGGCACGGAACCGGCTTTCCCTCTTTCTTGCAGCGTGATTGGCCCGCGGCTCAGGGAGGCAGCCAATGAGTGCGCCCCGGGAGAGCGGCGAGGCCAATATGGCTTCCTGCACCTGGTGACGGTAGAAGAAACTGAGGTCTCATGGAGAAACCCCGGAGCATTGAGGTGAGAGGGAGGAGACTTAGCACTACTGGGAAAGGGAACCCGGAGAACCTCGCTCGACGGATCAGTCTTTAGGCCTTTCGGCGACTCTGTGAGCGTGGAGGGCAGAGGGTGGACGGATTGGTAAACTGAGGTAGTAGGTCCAGCTAGGGCCAGAGGCAATCGCCGTCACTTTTTGCTCCTGTGGTGCTGGGACCCGCGTCGCTTCGCGAGTTCAGGGAGGAACATCCCGCTAGCCTGGGGAAGGGGACGTGGGTCCAGCTCTGAGCACTTGGATCTTTGTCTTCCTCGTCTCGTGGTCGCGTTCCTAAGGGATTGTTGAGGCCTTTCGCATCCAGGTGGGAAGCGAAGGGACGTGAGGTTTAATATTATTCCGTGCCTGAAGCGTTCGCGTGCATGGTCTCCAGACGCCCTCGCCGTCCTGGGATGTGGCTTCATGTCTATGGTTAAAGCAGCGGAGACTTAGAGAGGTAGTGAGTTCCCAGAGGCTCAACACAGCTGGAAAGGGAAGGAGGTGGGGTAAATCAGCCTCCAAAATCTTGTCATTGCCCTTTCCACTCCGCTACAACAACCTGTAACCTACCCACCCTTCAATCATTTGGCTACTGGGCTCCTTATTTTTAAATTCCGTTTCCTTTCTAGCATATTTGCATGTGCTGGGAAACTTTAAGGATAAAGGAGAATTAACAAATGGAAAATAAGAATAATAGCTAACACTTTCAGAGCTGTCACTAACTGCTGAAAGTAGAATGAAGCTTTACCTCTGACCTCAATCTTCATAATAATCCTCTAAAGAAGTCTTGTTGTTATCTCCATCGTATTGATGAAGAAACCTTCGGTAGCAAGGCTAAATATCTTGCACAAAATCACAAACGCAGTTGATAAGCCACGTCTTAAACCCAGGCAAATCTGATTTGAGAAACCATGCTTTGAGCCAATAATATTTGCCAGTGTTTATTGAGGACTTAATATATGTAAGTCGCTGTTCTGAGTGCTTTATAGTATTATCTCTTTCCCCTTAAATCCTTTTAAATCAGTATTGTTGGGTTGGGGTTATAGCTTAGTGTAGAGCACTTGCCTGCACATTTGAGGCACTCGGTTCTATCCTCAGCACCACATAAAAACACATAAATAAAAAAGATATTGTGTCCATTTACAATTAAAAATACTTTTAAATAAAATAAGTAAATAGGTTGTGTTATCCTCATTTTGTGAAAATGAAGGCACTGAGAGATTGACATGTTATAAGTTCTTAGCTAGCAAGCACTAGAGATGGTATTTGGCACAGATCCCCAAACTCTACCTTGCTTCACATATATCCCATTCATATCTCATAGCCTGTGAGCCAAAAATTTTCTTATTTCATAGATAAGAAAATAGAGACCCAGGGACTGGGGTTGTGGCTCAGTGGTAGAGCACTTATCTAGCATGTGTGAGGCATTGGGTTCGATTCTCAGCACCACATATAAATAAATGAATAAAATAAAGGTCCCTCAACTAAAAAGAAAGAAAGAAAATAGAAGCCCAGGGCTGGCTGGGGTGGTGGCTCAGTGGTAGAGCACTTGCCTAGCATGTGTGAGGCACTGGGTTCAATTCTCAGCGCCACATATAAATAAATAAAATAAAGGTCCATTGACAACTAAAAAATATTTTTTAAAAATATTTTTTTAGTTATACATGGACACAATATCTTTATTTTGTTTATTTATTTATTTTTTTATGTGGTGCTGAGGATGGAATCCAGGATCTCTTATGAGTGCTCTACCACTGAGCCACAACCCCAGTCCCTAAAAAATATTTTTAAAAAAGAAAGAAAGAAAGAAAATAGAGGGCCATAGAGGTTGAATGACTTGCCTAAAGACCTGTAGCTAGTTAGAATCAGAGCTGAATTTAAAGCTGTGCTACAACTTAGTGAGACCCTATCTCAAAAATAAATAAAATAAAATAAAACAGCTGAGGATGTGGCTTAGTAGTTAAGAGTCCCAGGTTCAATCCCCAGTACCAAAAATAAATACATACATACCTAATTAAAGGGCTGGGGCTGAGGTCAGTGGTAGATAGCTTATCTAGCACATGTGAGGGACCAGGTTTGAGCCTCAGCACCATATAAAAATAAGTAAATAAAACAAAGGCATTGGGCTGAGGCTGTGGCTCAGTGGTAGAGTGCTTGCCTAGCATGTGTGAGGCACTGGGTTCTATTCTCGGCACCACATATAAGTAAATGCATAAAAAAAAGGTCTACACATCTAAAAAATATGAGTTCATTAAAAAAATAAAGAAAAAAAGGTATTGTGTTCATCTATAACAAAAAAAAATTCTTTTTTAAAACAAAAAATCAGCCGGGTCCTGTGATGCACACCAGCGGCTTGGGAGGCTGAGGCAGGAGGATCTTGAGTTCAAAGCCGGCTTCAGCAATGGCAAGGTGCTAAGCAATTCAGTGAGACCCTGTCTCTAAATAAAATATTAAAAAAGGTTGGGGGTGGGGCTGGAGCTATGGTTGAATGGCAGATTGCTTGCCTACCGATTGTGAGGCACTGGGTTCGATTCTCAGCACCACATATAAAATAAAGGTCCTTTGACAACTAAAAAATATTTAAGAAGAAAAGGGCTGGGGGGGTCTGGGGTTGTAGTTCAGTGGTAGAACACTTGCCTAGCATTTGTGAGGCACTGGGTTTGGGTTTGATCCTCAGCACTATATACAAATAAATAAAGGTCCATTGACCAAAAAATAAATAAATTAATTAAATATATATATATATATATATATATATATATATATATATATATATATATAAAATTTAAAAAGGGCTGGGGATGTGGCTCAGTGGTTAAGTGCCTCTGGGTTCAATCCCTGGTACAAATAAATAGAGTTGTGCTATATACCATCATGTCATAGCTACCTGTGTGTCATCTGCCTTTCATATCTTTCTTGGCACAGTCTGGGTCTCGAATTAACTTTTCCCTGACTTAAATATTGTGTGTGTATGTGTGTGTGTGGTGATTTTTTTTTTTTTTGGCATTGTTTTTAAAGTTTTTTTTTAGTTGTTTGATTTTTTTTTTAGCTTTGTTTAATTGTTGATGGATCATTATTTTGTTCATTTATTTATATGCAGTGCTGAGGATTGAACCCAGAGCATCACACATACCAGGCAAGTGCTCTACCGCTGAGCCACAACCCCAGCCTCTTAAATTGTTTCTTTTTTGGGGTGGGGTGGGGTTGAGGTACCAGGAATTGAACTCAGGAGCACTCAACCACTGAACCACATCCCCCACCCTATTTTTTGTATTTTATTTAGAGGCAAGGTCTCACTGAGTTGCTTAGCACCTCGCTGTTGCTGAGGCTGGCTTTGAACTCACAATCCTCCTGCCTCATTCTCCAGAGCTGCTAGGATTATAGATGTGTGCCACCGAGCTGGGTTTTTTTTTTTTTGAGTTGAAGTTATTTGGGGTATAGATGCTGAACAAAGAAGAATGACTTTATAATATAAGTTTTCTACTCTAGAAAGGACAATTTTTTTTAATATTTATTTTTTAGTTTTAGGTGGACACAATATCTTTACTTTTATGTGGTGCTGAGAATTGAACCCATTGCCTCACGCATGCTAGGCGAGCGCGCTACCACTTGAGCCACATCCCCAGCCCCTAGAAAGGAGAAATTAAAAAAAATAATTTTTTTAGTTGTAGATGCTCACAATACCTTTATTTTGTTTATTATAGTTTTCTTTATGTGGTGCTAGGGATCAAACCCAGTGCCTCATGCATGCTAGGCAAGCACTCTGCCACTGAGCCACAACCCCAGCCCCCTAGAATGTCTTTTCAAGGTATTTAAGATATTTTCACATTGTCAAACAAACTTCAGGTTTCCAACTTAGAGTTTTTTTATTTTACAATGGTGGGAAAGCAATATACATTCAATAGAAACTGTACTTTGAATTTTAGCCTGTTCCCAAGTTATCAGTAAGTAGCATAATCTCTCATGATGCTGGACAGTGACTGTAGGGCACAGCTTTGTCAGTGACACAATCATCTGGGGGAAATTGCTTAGTACACTGTGGTGTACAGCGTTGCTCAGCTATGATATTTAATAGGTTATATGTACTAAATGCAATTTTCACTTAAAATATTTTCAATTTTTTATGGACTTATCAGTATGTAACCCCCTTGAAAGTCAAGGAACAACTGTATTCTATTTCTTTCTTTCTTTTTTTTTTTTAACATTTTTTAGTTGTAGATGGACACAACACCTTTATTTATTTTTTTGTGGTGCTGAGAATTTAACCCGGTGCCTAACACTTGCAAGGCAAGTGCTCCACCACTGAACTACAATTGCAGCCACTGTGTTCTATTTCATCCATGTTAAAATATCCTTTGGGGGCTGGGGTTGTGGCTCAGCGGTAGAGCGCTTGCCTGCCTCGCACGTGTGCGGCCCTGGGTTCGATCCTCAGCACCACATAAGAATAAATAAATAAAGTGAAAGTATTGTGTCCAACTACAACTAAAATATATATATATATATATATATATATCATCCTTTGTAGATCCACAGGAGCCTAGTGAATTCCTAACATTTTCTGTCTTATGCTGTTGTGTTGAATTATGGTGAAGAAATGTATAAAAAGAAGTAATGATACTTGTGTTTGCAAAAAAGGGGTATTTCAAATGTTTCCCAAAATGTTGACAAAGAATCAGAAAGGGGGTTGGTAGCAGATCTGCAGATTCTCTTCCCATACACTAAAACCAACCATATTTTTTTCTGCCTGGTCTGTGTCATCCTTCTACTAGGAGACCCCATCTTCAGAACCAATGGAGGAAGAAGAGGAAGATGATGACTTAGAGCTGTTCGGAGGCTATGATAGTTTCCGGAGTTACAACAGCAGTGTGGGCAGTGAGAGCAGCTCCTATCTGGAGGAGTCAAGTGAAGCAGAAAATGAAGATCGAGAAGCAGGGGAGCTTCCAACCTCCCCCCTGCATTTGCTCAGCCCTGGGACTCCCCGATCCTTGGATGGCAGTGGTTCTGAACCAGGTGCCTTCACAGTATCCCCTGAAGATGGAGAGGAGTCAGGAGGTTATGAAGGAACAGGGAATGAATACAGGCGGTTTGACCAGAGCCATCCAGATGTAAAAGACTGCTTGATCTTATGGATCAGATGTCTAAGGACTTGGCCACGGGGGTCATTCCTCTATTGCGGTCTGGTTTCAAATTGTGATTTCATTCATTCTTTGATTCAACTAATGTTTATGCAGCATATATTAGATGCCAGTCAGGAACGTGGTACTGCTTTTACATTTGTGTGAGAAGGCTGGGGATTTTTCAGTCTGCATGTGGAGAAGATAGGAAATCTTAAGGGCTGTGGGGTGCCTTCCCAGAAGGGATAAATAATACCTTGTGGAGGACTAGGGGTGTGGCTCAGTGGTAGAGCACTTGCCTAGCAGGTGAGGCCCTTGGTTTGATTCCTAGCACCACCAAAAATATAATAATAATAACTTGTGGGCTATTAATAATAAGTTGTTGGTGAGAAATGAGGGCTTTGGTGGTTGGGGGTACAGGATAAAGTGACCTCCAGGAAAGAGGATTTGGGTGGAACCAGGAGCAGTGGCTCACACCTTTTATCCTGGCAACTTGAGAGGCTGTGGAAGGAAAATCACAAGTTTGAGACCAGCCTGAGCAATTTAGCAAGTCCCTGTCTCAGAATAAATTTTTAAAAAGGCTGGGGATGTGGCTCAGTGATAGAGCCTGCCTGAATTCAGTCTTCAGTACTGCCAAAACAAAAGGATCTGGATGGGGTGGAGCACTAAGAATCCCATGGGTCATCTGGAAACCAGCTGGGCTTCAGAGATCTAATGCTTGGATAGCTGCTGGGCCTGTGTCAGGGCCTCCAGTGTGTGAAGAGAGGCAGGCTAGACAGGCTTTGATGATATCTCCGTTCCTTGATCCCTAAGTTCTGTTTTTTTTTTTTTCCCCAGCACTGGGGACTGAACCCAGGGGTTCTTTACTATTGAGCTACATCATCAGGCCTTTTTTTTTTTTTTTAATTTATTTATTTATTTACTTTTTGTGGTGCTGGGGATTGAACCCAGGGCCTTGTGCGTGCAAGGCAAGTACTCTACCAACTGAGCTGTATCCCCAATCAAAAGTCTGTCTCTCTCTCTCTCTTTTTTTTTTTTTTTTTTTTTGCCTTTTTTTTAAATTTTGAGACAGAGTCTAGTTGTTGAGTCTGGTCTTGAACTTGCAATCCTTCCTCAGCCTCCCAAGTCACTAGGATTACAGGCATGTTCAACTGCGCCTGGCTTCTTAAACTTTTTGGAATAGTAATCTAATACTTTTTTTTGGTGGGGGGCATACTGGAGATTGAACTCAGCCACTGAGCCACATCCCCAGCCCTATTTTGTGTTAGAGACAGGGTATCACTGAGTTGCTTAGCGCCTCGCTTTTGCTGAGGCTGGCTTTGAACTCATGATCCTCCTGCCTCAGCCTCCTGAGCTGGAATTACAGGCATGTGCCACTGCACCCAGCTATAATCTAATACTTTTTGTCAGTTGATCCTTCTTTCTATTCATATTGTCTTTTCTTCCATTTTCCTTTCTTTCGTCTTTCTCCCTTCTATTTTCTCTCAACCATTTCTTAGAGTCTTAGAACTTCAGCACTAGAAGGAATCATTGGAAACCAGCTAGTCCACAGGTTTCCTGACTGCAAATTAGAATCACCTGGGGAGGTTGTAACACTACAGATTTCAGTGTCTCATAGCAAACCATTTCATGAGAATCTTAGGTTCTGGAATTTTTTAAAAGCTCCTCGGGTGATTGAAACGTGGATTTAATTCAGTCTCCTTACTATTTAAATAAAGCCACAGAGATTCACTTTGGCACTTTTCTCTTTTCCTCCTTTTACACACATTTTCCCCTTTCATCGTCTCTTGAAAAGTTGCTAACACCTGCTTATGTACCCGGTCCTTCTCATGCATTTCCCCTAGCCCCACCGATGACATAACAAAGGGAGGCCAAGCAGCATAGCTTGGGTGAGACAGATTCACATACACACGCCAGGCTGGGTGTGTGGCATGCTGGTAGTCCCAGCTATTCAGGAGGCTGAGGCAGGAGGATCCCTTGAGCCCAGGAATTTGAGGCCAGCTTGGGCAACATAGGGACACCCTGTCCTGGGCAGGGGGAAATACACACACACACACACACACATACACACACACAGCAGTCCCGCCTCCTGCCTCCTCCCCTTCTCCAGCTGTCAGCCTTAGTGGGTACTGGGGCTTACCTGGTTAGTGCAGTGCCCAAGGTTTTGAAGGGCCCATCATTTTGTTGGATTTGAGGTAACCATATTGGTAAGTCATGTGCTAAATTCTCTTCCCAGCCGTTTGTGAGATGTGTGGTATCGTGGGCACACGGGAAGCCTTCTTCTCCAAGACCAAGAGGTTCTGCAGTGTCTCCTGTTCCAGGAGCTACTCCTCCAACTCCAAAAAAGCCAGTATCCTGGCTAGATTACAGGTGAGAGGCAACCACTTGCACCCTTCCCTGGGCCCTGGGTGCTGAGACACGAACCACCAACTGATCCAAGGCTAGGAACCAGCAAGGGCTGGGGAGGAGCTCTTTGCTTATGGTTCTCTGAGGTTACAAAATTTCTTGGTATTTAGTATGCCCTCAAACTTCAGAGGACAGAGGAATTAATCCCTGGAGCTACCCTCTATTCCCTACCCCCCAGGAACTGATAAAACTATCAGTTTTATCTTGGGGGAGCCTGATGTCCTTGGTCTTCATGCTACATTTTATTTTATTTTTATTATTTTTTTATAATCTACACGTATTTTCTTCTTTCAAAGAGAGAGAGAGAATTTTTTAATATTTATTTTTTAGTTTTCGGTGGACACAACATCTTTATTTTATTTTTATTTGGTGCTGAGGATCGAACCCAGTGCCCCACACATGCCAGGCGAGCGCGCTACCGCTTGAGCCACATCTCCAGCCCCATGCTACCTTTTATATATGCCTTGAAGGAAGCTGGGAAACAAGCATGAGGATCGCAGGCCACAGGGGCTCAGAAATCAGTGTTTTGTCCGATTCCATGTCATAGGCAGTCGCATAGATAATCTTTCCAGTCTCTAGTGGTTGATGTTTATAGAACTTGGAGACATGGAAACACACTCCTATCCACACATTGATTCGTGTGTGGAGGTCCAGGGACTTGGAATGACACCCAGGTGGCTCTGTGGGAAGACAACAGTGGAATCTTGGCAGGACCGTAATCACAGGTGCCGGCCTCCAGTTGTCCACATGTGCAGCACTGGTTTGCAAACTCGTCTGCATGTCGGCATTGCCTGGAAAACTTTAAAAATACCAAGGCTTGTGTCTGACTCCCAAAGATTCCAATTAAACTGGGATGGAGCATGGCCTAGACCTGGGGATTTTAAAGAGCCCCCAGCCAATGCTAACGTGCTGCAAAGCTAGAGAACCACTGCCCTGACATTTATTGGAAGTTGCTGCAGGCTGGATCTCTCTGGTTAGTGCTTCATATGCTTGTCAACTTTGAGACAGTTACAATTGTTCCCCTCATTTTGTGGATTTTAGTCAGAGCATGGAAACGTCCCTGTCCTCAGGGAGCTAATGATATTGATGACAGCTACAGGACCTATTTGCTGAGGGCTTGGCCTTCCTAATCCATCAGTGGTCCTAAAATATGGATATCAGGGCCAGGGTTGTAGCTCAGTTGTAGAACTCTTGCCTAGCATGTGGGAGGCCCTGGTTCAAGCCTTAGCAGTGACGGGAAAAAAAGCCTGGATTTTAAAAAATTCCTATTTCATTATACTGAATTTAAAAGTAAAAATAAATTTAAAATTCCCCTTTTAAAAGCTCAGGAGTTTTAATACCTTAAAGAGATATCACTAAAAATTTTAGGGCTGGGGTTGTGGCTCAGTGGTAGAGTGCTTGCCTAGCATGTGTTAGGCACTGGATTCAATCCTCAGCACCACATAAAAATAAATAAACAAAATAAAGGTATTATGTCCATCTACAGCTAAAAATATTTTTAATACATTGTAGAAGTATTTGACTGAAGGTCTGCTGGGATTTAAGCCCACATTTCTTTCTTTTTTCTTTTTTGTAGCTGTAGATTATTTTATTTGTTTTTATTTTTATGTGGTACTAAGGATCAAACCCAGTGCCTCACACATGCTAGGCAAACACTGCCACTAAGCTATAGCCCCAGCCTCTAAATCTACTTTTCTGCCAGGTACTGAGGCACACACCTATAATCTCAGCTACTTAGGAAGATGAGACAGGGGAGGATCACAAGTTCAAGGTCAGCCTAGATAACTTAGCAAGACCCTCTCTCAATTTTTTTCTCTTTGTTATTTTGAGACAGGATCTTCCTAAATTTGCTAAGGCTGACTTCAAACTTGGTGATCCTCCTATCTCAGCCTCCCAGGTTGCTGAGATTACAGATGTGCTTTTAAAAATACAGGGTTGGGCCAGGTGTGGTAGTGTATGCCTATAATCCCAGCAATTTAGGAGGCTGAGGCAGGAGGATCGAGAATTCAAAGCCAGCCTCAGTGGGGCTGGGATTGTAGCTCAGTGGTAGAGCACTTGCCTAACACGTTTGAGGCACTGGGTTCGATTCTCAGCATCACATATAAATAAATAAAATAAAGGTCCATCAACAACTAAAAATAATAATAATAATAATAATAATAATAATAAAGCCATAGCAACTGTGAGGCACTAAGCAACTCAGTGAGACCCTGTCTCTAAATAAAATACAAAATAGGGCTGGAGACCACACTGGATCAGTGGTTGAATGCCCCTGGGTTCAATCTCCAGTACCCACCAAAAAATAAAAAAATAAAGGTTATTATGTTCACCTACAAATAAATAAATAAAGGGTTGGGAATATAACTCAGTGGTAGAATGCCTAGGATGTGTGAGGCCCTGGGTTCAGTCTCCAGTACTGCAGTAAGCAAATACACAAACCCACATTTCTGCTTCACTGATCTCTTCCTGCCCTTTCTCCTCAGTATTGAAGTTACAAGATACAGGGCTGGTGATGTGGCTCAGTGGCGGAGCACTTGCCTACACATACGAGGCTCTGGGTTCTATCTCCAGAACCACAG